TGAACACCTGACAGAAGCTATGCAACGTCTATCAACTGACAGATTCCGGGTAGATTGGGAAAAGTTCAGAAAAATCAGAATTTCCATTGCTAACTTATGTTATGTCCTCCCTTTTTTTGTATAATCATAGTATCAAAATATTCTGAGCAATATTCAGTTTACAAATGGATTGTCTTAGCTGCACAAGGCAGCTGCCTGGTTCAGGCAAGCTGCCCCAGGGTGAGAAATTCCTCTGTCTCCTGAGACAAAAGGCAAGCCCCAGGAGAGATAAGATCCCAGGGCACAAAAACCTCTGGGAAGCTTCCTTAGTTTTTTTTTGAATAATAAAAAAAAAAACCTCAGATAAGGCTCCCAGGGCATAAGGACTCATGGACAAATTTTAACCTTGTTTACACAGGTGTTGTTTGATATACAACTGTACAACTTTCTCTTATTTACTCCTTTTTAAAACAAGCACTAACTACGTTCTTCTAGCCTTAAATTAGCCATTAGCTTTTCTTTAGTGTTTTCTGATAACACTGCTAACACAATTTTTTACTACCCCAAGACCCCTGATAACCTTCTGCTAATGAACTCACCCCTTCCCGACCCCTCTTCTTTGAGTGATAACTAGACAGCTGTACACATGATAATTATCACAAAAATAATCTAGCATACCATAAATTGTTAAGAAAAGAATGCTTTTCCCCTTGTCCTTGAGAATATTTTATGGTGATATCTCATTAACTTACCTTATGCATTATTGCAATTAACTACTTGTTAAACAGTATAAATAAAGACCTGCTGAAGGAATGGCAGGAAAACTTGCACCCTACCCTGACTCCCGTGTCTTCCTCGTGCCCGCTCCCCTCTCTGCTTTTGGAATCTCTGCTCACCGACGCCTTCCCATCTTAGGGTCCTGCCTGTGTTGCCTCCAGACACCTCAATAGTTGGAGCTGGTCTCCAACAAACACCGATGCAAAAATCCTCAACAAAATTTTAGCTAACAGAATCCAACAATGCATTAAAAGAATAATACACCACGACCAAGTGGGCTTTATCCCAGGAGCACAAGGATGGTTCAACATCAGAAAATCAATTAATGTAATCCATCACATCAACCGACAGAAGAATAAAAACCACATAATCATATCAATAGAGAAGGCTTTTGACAAAGTTCAACACCCATTTATGTTTAAGGCCTTTGAAATCCTCGGAATAAAAGGAACATACCTCAACATAATAAAAGCCATATATGATAAACCCACAGCCAATATTATCCTCAACGGAGAAAAGCTGAAAGCCTTTCCTTTGAGATCAGGAACAAGACAAGGGTGTCCACTATCTCCACTGCTCTTCAACATAACATTGGAATTTCTAGCCAGAGCAATAAGACAGAAAAAAGACATACAAGAAATCCAAATAGGGAAAGAAGAAGTGAAACTATGCTTATTTGCAGACAACATGTTAACTTACATGGAAAACTCTAAAAATTCCACAGAGGAACTAATGAAAACCATCAACCAGTTTAGCAAGGTAGCAGGATACAAAATCAACACACAAAAGTCAGAGGCTTTCCTATACACAAATAACCAATCAGAAGAAAACTGTTTGGAGGTTCCTCAAACTGCTAAACGTTGAGCTTCCCTACGACCCAGGAATCCCACTCCTTGATATCTACCCAAAAGACACAAAAACACTGATTCAAAAAGACACCTGCACCCCCATTTATATTGCTGCTTTATTCACAATTTGAAAGACATGGAAATAGCTCAAATGCCCAAAAATGGATGACTGGATTAAAAAGATGTGGTACATATACACAATGGAATATTACTCAGCGTCCAAAAGCAAGAAACACATGTCTTTTGCAGCAACATAGATGGAGCTGGGAAAGATCATGCTTAGTGACATAAGCCAGAAAGAAAAGGAAAAATACCGGATGCTTTCACTCATAGCAGGAGTATAATGGACCAGGCAAGAAAATAACAAGAATAATGAACAACCATATACCAGAGACATTTTGTGGAGGTTGAGTGGGGAATGGGATCAAAAACGGGGGAGGGAAGTGCACGGGATTATGGTAATGGCACACGGGTGACTTGGTGATGGGAAACCCACGGGGATTACAACTGAGATGGGAAAAAAATGTACAAAATGATGTAAAAATAAACTGTTATAAAAGAAAAAAAAAACCTTCTCCTAGATGTTCAGTCTTTGAACTATACACTGTAAAATTACCAAGTCAAGATGTTAGTAAGCGATTTTGAGTTGAAAAAATCAGTTTGAATCTTTAAGATAGAATCTTCAAAGTGTCTAATGAAGCATTGATAACCCAATGGTTAGAATGAGAATTTTTCCCTTTGAAGTGAAAATCTCTTTTCCTTTTAAAGAGGATGAAAACATTTTGGTTATGTGTATTATAAAATAATGTAGCTACTCCTACTGTTGCCAAATCACATTAGAGTGGTCCTACTCCCCACTCAACCTCCACAAATAATGTTGAACTGATTTGTATCCAAGTTGAAATCTTCCTCTATGTTGTCTGAGACCCCTGTCAAAGCTACAGTAGGATAGGAGAACCTTGATTGTTCTAATAGCATTTCCCAGTTCCTACTTAAAATTTTAATAGATTTTTTTCAATGTTGAATCATTCTTGAATTTTTAGATTAAGCTTAATTTTTCCCTGGTACATTTTTTTAAGAGCATATTTGATTGTCAATATTTCACAAAGGATTTTTGGCTTCCAAAGCCATATATGTATATGGCAATTGTTAAAACTAGCAGAATTTCCTAATCCCAAACTTGGCATTATTTAGATAAATGAGGAGTCATTTAACCAATGCACTCTAGTTAGACCATAACATCGATTAAAAGCATTTCCCCAAAAAAGGAAAATGCAAAGATAAGAAGTTGAGATAATTAAATATTAGTATTTAAATATTAACACCATTTAGTATTTAATTTGTCAATAGGTGACCACATTTTTTCCATTCAGTTACTAATCATCCAAATTATTGCCCCAAAAATTTCAATGTGAAATGTTTTCCCAATTAGTCTTTATTATCCATGAGATTTCTGACTGAAAACTTGTCAGGATAAGACAAAAACTTCTAAAAAATTAAACCAGCCATTTTTTTCTTTATAATATAATAGTTTGTTTATTTTTATATCATTTTCTACATTTTTTTATCTCAATTGTAATCCCTGTGAGTTTCCCATCACCGAGTCACCCGTGTGCCATCACCATAATCCTGTGCACTTCCCTCCCCACACCCCCCCATTTTTGGTCCCATTCCCCACTCAACCTCCACAAAATGTCTCTGGTATATGGTTGTTCATTATTCTTGTTATTTTCTCACCTGGTCCATTATACTCCTGCTATGAGTGAAACCATCCGGTACTTTTCTTTCTCTTTCTGGCTTATCTCAGTAAGCATGATCTTTTCCAGCTCCATCCAAGTTGCTGCAAAAGACATGTGTTTCTCTTTTTGGTTCCTGAGTAATATTCCAATGTATATATGTACCACATCTTTTTTATCTAGTCATCTACTTTGAGGCTTTGAGTTGCTTCCATGTTTTTCCAATTGTAAATAAAGCAGCAATAAACATGGGGGTACAAGTATCTTTTTCAATCAGTGTTTTTGTGCCTTTTGGGTAGATACCTAGGAGTGGGATTGCTGGGTCATAGGGAAGCTCCATGTTTAGCAGTTTGAGGAACCTCCAAACAGTTTTCCATAGTGGTTGTACTAGTTTGCATTCCCACCAGCAATGCAGGAGAGTTCCTTTTTATCCACATCCTCGCCAACATTTGTTGTTGCTAGTTGTTTGAAGATGTGCCATTCTCACTGGGGTGAGGTGGTATCTCATTGTGGTTTTAATTTGCATCTCCCTTACTACGAGTGATGTTGAACATTTTTATATGCTTGTTGGCCATCTGCATTTCCTCTTTGGAGAAGTGTCATTTTAGCTCTTCTGCCCATGTTTTGGTGGGGTTGTTTAATTTATTTTTGTTGAGTTTCATCAGTTCTCCGTATATTTTTGTGATCAGTCCTTTTTTTATCATTACTTTTGCGTGAGAAAATGTTTTCCCAATTAGTGGGCTGTCTGTTTGTTTTTAGTAATGTCTCTTTTGCTGTACAGAAGCTCTTTAACTTGATGTAGTCCCATATATTTATCCTTGCCTTCACTATTGTGGCGTTGGGTGCTCTATCTTTAAAGATGTCCCTGAAGTGTATGTTGGATAGTGTTTGGCCCATCTTTGCTTCCCGGTATTTTATGGCTTCCATTCTTATGTCTAGGTCTTTAATCCACTTCGAGTTGATTTTTGTGAATGGAGTGAGGTAGTGAACTAGTTTCATTTTTTTCCATGTAGCTTCCCAGTTTTCCCAGCACCATTTGCTGAACAAACTTTCTTTGTTCCATTGTATCTTTTTTGCTCCTTTGTCAAAAATTAGGTGTCCATAAACTTGTGGGTTTATATCTGGATATTCTATTCAAATCCACTGGTCTATTATGCCTTTGTAGTATAGCTTGAGGTTTGGGATTGTAATGCCTCCATTTTGTTTTTTCTTAGACATAGACCAGCCATTTAAGTACATGAATTTACATTTAAATATATGTATAAACTATACATATATAAATGCATACATGTATCAATTTCATGATAAAAGAAGTTAGTCACTACAGAATAAATATTAGTTTCCAATTTTAAGCCAAACAAGATAAATTTTTAACTAATCTGTACCTTTTGCCTATAGACATACAACCACCTGATACTCAGGCTGATAGACTTAAACATACAACCCTCTCTACTGATGTTCATGACAAAAGGCAAATCAGAATTCTTCTTCCATATACATTTTTTATTTTCAGCATTTTACACTACCCTCTGACTTCCAGACATATCACAACCAGTTTGCGACTGTTCCTTTGAATGTGATTCAGTGCATTTATCTTTCATTACTCATTGTCATTGATTTTATTTACCAATCTTAATGCAATGGAAAAGACAAGGAGAGCTGTATGGTCAAAGTCACTACCTGCCTGACTGGCTTTTCTGTACACAGGTGAGATATTCCTGCACATCATCTGGGGACCCCAGAATGAGGGGGACTCTTTGATGAATGGACTCAGGTTTTATGTCCAGCACAGGTTGTGTGCCTGTGGTTGCCAAGCCTCCTGCCTGCTCAATGATATAGGCCACAGGATTGCACTCATACAGGAGCCGAAGCTGTGAAGAAATAAAGTGGACAAAATTTGCAAATTGTCAAAATTTCCAAATCAAGCATCTAAAGTTCATGAGGAATTCCAACTACTGACTATCCATATATATCCTTAGTGCAGGACATTAGCTCACTCCAGGTGAGTGGGCTGCCTGAGAGCAAATTCCAGAAGCTTGAATTAATCAGCAGATTTTCATCACATATGCCTCTGGGATACCTAGATCAGTACATATCTCATATAAGAATGTGCCTCTTCATTTGGAAATCAAAGTTGTATGAGTACCCACAGGTCCTCATTCTCGCTGGTTCATCAATGAGGTGAATGGATTCAGCAATTCTAAAGAGGAGCCCCCAATATGTGTGTCTTAATGGCTGATAAGGAGTCAAGGTTGGATGGGACTTCTCAAGATTGCTATGTGGTCTCTCTGGATTATATGTTGACTTGGGTATATGATTCACTGGTGTTTAAGAGTCCCTTCTTTGGGCTCCTTAGAGAAAGTTAACTCCCATTGCTTGCACCCCCACAGCATCTTTTCAGTTCCCTTTCAGTAACAGTCATGACATTGAAGTTTGCTTCAATGTCTGCCTTCCTCCTTAGATGTTGCCCTTCATGGGCAGGGACACTGTGTGTCATGGCTATTCATGTGGCTGCTCCGTTCCCAGTACTGACCAGTTAATACATGGCTAATTGAATTGAAATGGACTAAACTCATGGTCTTTTTTTTTTTCAGGTGTATTTCTGTGACAATGTAACTTTCTTCTGTGGCAATGTAACTTTCTTCACCCACCAAGCACAGACACACATTATATTAGATTCAGAGTGATGTTGTAGCTACATGTTGACTCAGCATCATAGTATCTTATTCCTTTCATCATAGATGCAAAATCTGATTTAAAAATATTCCTTTTCTGGAACCAGCTTGCAAGGCATTGATCCAGCTCTTTACAGCTTTTACATTTGTGTTCTCTCTTGCAAATCTATTTTAAAACCCTTTGAGAAACCGTCAGTCTTGTGCTAATTTTCAAATTATTGCTATTCCAAGGACAGGAACAAATGTTTTATCATTTGGTAAAACATTGTATGATGCTCTTATTCTAGACCTCTAGGTCTTAGAGCAATGGGAAATCTAATAGAACATTGAGAATTCCCATGATCATCTCAGGGGGGATGCTGGATGTGCCACTGCCCTAGACAGGCTGCTCAGGGACACTCTGACCTGGCAGCTTAAAGAGTTTGGTTCTTTCCTCCCCTTTTCTGTGAGGCTTGAGAATGGAAGGACTTGGGGGTGTCAGATAGTAGTCTTAGATTGTACCAATTAGATTTTGTTCACACCATTTTGATTCAGACACCTTTTTAAAAATGCATGCATAAGGCTTATCTTAGAACGTTGTTTACTCTGACTACAAGATGCCATTGTAGTTACTTATTTTAAAACACAATGCCCAGGTCTTCATGATGCCTTGGTCTGCAGGCTGCATGATCTATTATCTGCAGTAAAAATCTACATAACTATACAATGACAAGCACACACAGAAGAGGCACAAGCACATACACAGCTGTGATCAAAAAGAATAAGAGCTAAAGCATGAAGACTGGAAACCAAGAACACCTTAAATGCTGGTAACAGTTATGGTCCTTTGAGAATAGTTTATATATATGAAATTATTCATGCTTACAGAAATGTTTATGAAATTATGTAATTTTATGTTTATGTAATTAGACATAAGTCTGCTTATGTAATAAAAATTGAAATATTTTAAAATATGTTTACTAATTAATGATCATTATCTTGTTCACCCTGCTGGAACTGAGTAGGTGACAATAGTGACCTACTATATATTCCACAGTACTGTAGAATTTCAATATCTTCTACTTGACTTCATTTAATACTTTCTGGTGCACTTACTCCAGCACTTATTTTACACACTTACCTGAGTTAAACACATTCATGAAAAGAAATTCCTGACATGACAATCCATATATTAAAATATTTTCTTTGTTCTCATATGCTTTTAGAAATTTTATAATGGCTTTGAAATTCGTATTCCAGTAATTCAAATACCTTACACTCAGAGACATATAAACATGTACATAGTCATTGGTATATGAGAGAATAAGGGTTTGGCTACTTACTTGTGATTAATGAGATTGATTAACAATTAGATATTCCTCTTGGAGGATTATTTGTATTTGTATCATAAAATTCTCTTTTCATAAAACAGGAAATTTTGACTTTATGTCGTAAAGTTGCAGTAAGACCTACTATGAACTACATTTATAGAAATATTAAAGTAGTTCTGAGCAGAAGTTTTCATTTTGAAGTTTGAGACTTCAGGTAGACTTTGGAGCATCTATGAATCGCCCGAAAATATCTGTAAGGTGTATATTGATTATGTGTGTAGGTTTACATGTAAATTTTTCTAGGAAATGATTCCATAGCCTTTGATCCAAAATAATTTATGTTGAAACTAAATGACTCAGCATATGGAAAGTAGGAAATAAACACAGCTAACTCTTGGTGAATGACAGCTATGAAACCAGTGAGGAACAGAGAAAATGACCATTAGCAACTCTTTTAGTCATTTCCTCTCCAAACCTTCTACCACAACCTCAAAATTCAATAAGAAGAAGTATCTCATTTATCTTCTATCTGTCCTCTCACAGACACAAGGACAAGGCAGTGGCCAGCAAAACAGGCATGAAGTAAAAGGAAATTCCAACTGGTTCACTGACTTGAAGTACCAGTGGAAAAAGCAGAATTACCTTGCCCTTAGGACTTTTCTTATTGGCCGGATACAGGAAGATGCCTCCATAGACCAGGGTGCGGTGCACATCAGCCACCATAGAGCCCACATACCTGGCCCCATAAGGAGAGCTACCGTCCTAGAGGACAGAAAGGGGAGGAATAAGATGCAGTGACTGTAGCCAGCACCAGCTCTGGCTTACTGGCAGCATCTCCAGGTCACATGTCCAGTAAAACCTTTATCCTTCACCCACAAGTTTAGGAGCTGAAAATGTTATGCCGTTGAGCTCTTAATATATAGAACTACTTAAAATTAAGGATAATATCCTGTAGCAATCTTAAGAGGAAGGAAAGAAACCACAAAGTAAAAAAAGAAACACATATAGAATATGGTACCTCAAATTATGCCATTTATGTAGATTGATTATTTTGATTAAAGTTAACTGAGAAACACATACTCCTTTGTCCCCCGGAAAGCAGTAAATAAATCTCCAATGTGAGTGGTACCCTCCATATACCAGAGGAAAAAGAGATATCCTTTTATATCAGAGAAGGGTAGACAGGGTCTAGATGGGTGGACAAATATTATTACCTCCTTACTAATTTGCCATTATCAGCCAAAGATGTTTGACTTGTTAAACTTTACAAATTTATTGTTTGTGTAAAAGGTAGTGGAGTTGACTACTTTGATCACTGGTCCATATTTTTAAAGGGACTTCTTTAGGCACAAAAGTAAATTTTATTTTCTCTTGTTAAGATGTCAAGCACTTAGAATGACCAAAGAATAGAAGGTATAAGGTAAAAGAGTAGGGAATGAAAGGTCAGGGCCTGTTCAGTTTGATGGTGAGGCTAGGAAGTTCGGCCTATATATTCTTATAAGATGGAACCTAGAAAGAACCCTCTAAGTCGGTATGAATGCTGCTGATTTGAGAAAATTGGGTCTTCATTAGTTCCTGCACTGTCCCATTACACTTTCATCAGTTTCAATAAGATACATTTATTTTCATAAGCATTTTAGGTGTTTGGGTCATAGCTTCTTGACCTCCACACCCACACCACCACCACAGTAGGGATGAATTACAGAAAAATCTACAGGCAAATGTCTAGAGAGAATGTGACAAATATACCCAAAAACTACACACCTAAAAGAGTATTGCTCATATATATAGCTCCTTAAATTATTTAATGAAATGTCTCCATTTTCATATTTCCCTTCAATCAGTCCTTTGTAAGGAAAATTAATATGAGAAATTCCATTTTTATTTCATCTCATATTCTCAAAAAATACATTTGCTTAAAGGGAAGATATATTTATTACATACACTAGAATGTGGGTAAATAACAGAATGTCTGGGACTGGGGCAGTATACCCCAGTGAGTCCTTCCCAAGACCAACCAACCACTTCTCCTTCTGGTGCATCTGTGGCTCCTAACTGTATCGTATCTGTGGTGGGAACCAACTGGGAATGCAGAGGCAGCTGCTTTTCAAGAAGGTAGGTCATTATATAAAACAATTAATTCAAGTTGGATAAAAGACTTGGATATAATACCCATAAAGTACACAAAATAAACATAGGTGATACACTTCTGGATGCCCACCACAGAGACATATTTGGTGTATCAACTTTCAGGGCAAAGAAAACAAAGCAAAGAAATAAAAGTAACTACATCAAAGTTAAAAGGTTTTGTATTCCACCTCCATGTTTGTTGTGGCTTTATTTATAATAGGAAAGACATGAAACCAACCCAAATGCCCAAAAGTAGATGACTAGATTAAAAAGATACACAGTGGACTATTACTCAGCAATCAAAAAGAAAAACACATGCCTTTTGCAGCAACATGTATGGAGCTGGAAGGGATCATGCTTAGTGAAATAAGCCAGAAAGAAAAGGAAAACTACTGGATGGTTTCACTCATAGCAGGAGAATAAAGGACCAGGGGGAGGAGGATTAATAATAATAATGAACAACTATATAGCAGAGACATTTTACAGGGGTAGAGTGAAGAATGAGATAAAAAATGGGGGAGGAGTAGTGTACTGGACTATGGTGATAACACATTGGTGAATTGGTGATGGGAAGTCCACAGGGATTACAACTGAGATGGAAAAAGTCACAAAGTGATGTAAGAATACACTATTATAAAAAAAAGAAGAAACATTGTATTCCTAAAAAACACACAAAAAAATGGCAACCAATGGGTTGACAGAAGATATTTTACATCATACAGCAGCAAAAAGGGGTTAATTTCCAAAAGGATAAAAATACTTATACAATTCATCAACAGTTAAATATATATATTATATATATATATTATATATGTATATTATATATTATATATATATATATGTTTTATATACATGTTTTTATATATATATAATTGGCAAAAGACCAAACTACAGAGTTTTCCAAAGAAAATATACAAATATATACCAGCATATAAAAAATGTTCAATATCAATTGTTATACTAATTGGTGTGGTTTAGATTGGTATTTCCTGCTCATCAGGAAATACTCATCAGGAACATTTTTCATGTACTTTTAGGCCATTTTTATGTCATTTTAGGAGAAGTCAATATTTAACTCTTCTGTTCATTTTTGTTTCAGTTTCCATTTTCTTTTTATTGAATTCTATGAATTCTTTGTAGTTCTTGGAATAATTAACCCTTGTTAGATATATGATGTGCAAATATTTTCTAATTCTGTAGAATGTCTTAATTTTAATGGCACTTTCACAATGCAGAAATTTTTGGTTTTTTTTTTTTTAGCTTGATGTAATACATTTATTTTTGCTTTTATTTTCCCTTGCCATTGGAGTAGTGATCCCAAATACATCAGGGAAGCCAATGTTGTGCAGTGTTTTGCCTGTTTTCATGGTGTTTGCCACAACATTCTTTGAAAGCTGGGCAGAAATGCAAAACAAATAGTTCATGGGATAGTGTTCTGGTGTACCTTTTATTTGACAGTCAGATAACAGGAAGATTATGTTCAGGTCAGTCTTTCAAAGCTTTTTGTGTCTCACATGATAAGCAGTAACTTAAACTTCAGATCTTCTAAAGCATTAATAGCAAGTGGGAGAACCAGATAATAATTTGCAACAATGGCATTGCTGCATTTCCTTTTTAGCATTAATTGAAAAAAATTAATTAATTTTCCTAATTTTAGCATTAATTGAAAAAAATGCCTCTTTCATCTACATTTATTTTCCTGCAAAGTGTATCCTCCTTCACCAATCTTTTTTTTTTTTGCCCCAGTAACCTGAGTAAGCAGCTGTGACTTCTTTGTCAACACCTGTAGACTAAACTATTATTTACATGTTATACTGTTTTCAATGTTACTTAAAACACAACAATTTTTTATGAAGATTTCACTTTCAGCACTAGAACCATTTTTTCTTTAAAATAAACTTAAAGATTTTATTTGTATGGTGATGAGTGGGCAAAGAGAACTTCACTCACAGTGTCCTCTAGCCATATATTAAAAGTATTTCCATATTTCCCACTCTGCTGCTTCTATGACAGATTAATGTTGTAGCAACCACAAGGGTTACACTTTGGTAACAAGTGTTAGTATTTTTTATCTTACTTCAGATAATTGTCATAGGTGACCAAGAACTCTTGGAGCATCTCACTGTCCTCTTTAAGACTTCTAGTTATGTTTCTCATATCACATTTCTGTTCATTTTTGACTGAAGATATCAGGTACTCACAGTGCTTTTTATTAGTCACTGCAACAGGGTTAAATTGGGGAGCAAATGTACATAAAAATAGTAAGTAGAACCTCTTAATACCAAGCAGTTCAAAAAACACAATAACAGATGTGGCGTGTTCTCTTAGTGTTTTCCTTATTGTTGTACATTTGTGTGGTTGTTCTGTACTTTTTGAATGTTGAATTTATAATAATTTTATCCATTCACATTCCAATCACTATTTCTAATTCAGGATCATGGTTAAGACCCATCCCTGCAGCTCAGAATGCAAGGTAGGCACAAACCTTGGGCAAGCTGCTGTTTAATGGCATACACTCTGACAAGGACAGTTTGGACATACTGGTAAATTTTATGTGCAAAAAAACAGTAACTTCATTTTTTCAATAAAAAATGTATTGACATTGTGATTTTTATGATTGAGAATTTGGTTAACATGCATGATCTCTCTGTGGATGGACAATAAGTGTGCTCTGACAAATATCAGTTTTACAAGCTGACATATAATAGCACTGTATGACCCTCTTAATAACTCTTGGGTTGTGAAAAGAAACTTGTATACCCATCAAAATCCCATATGAACATAAGGAGGATATGCAAACTCCACAGACTGTGTCTTTGGCCAAGTATTGTATGATTTTTTCATCAATATTATAACAAACATTGAATAAACCCATGATATTTGAGGACAATGTTATTTGAGTATATATATACTTAAATATGAAATTATATTTAGTTCTGGATGTTAAGACCTGTATTTCACTATCAATACATGAGAATGATTTGCTTTTTCAACAGATGGGTTGCACGGAATTCACCAGCATATCATGGATTCCCACTAATATAATTACTAGCCTTTCCTGAAGTTATTCCAGGTGCTTCTTCTGTTGTTATAACATGATGGCAATGACATCATTTTGTTTAAAAAACAAATTATAGCTCTCTTTCTCCCTTCCACCCCCCTAAAATATCCCATGGAGCTTTTAAAATGCACAAAATGAAGAATGATGTAAATATATATATATATGTATATATATATATATACATATATATATACATATATATATATATATATCATGAGCAGCATAATTTCATCTTATTTTAAATTGTTGGTGCTTAGAAA